TTAGGTAAGCTTATTTTTTTTTACCGCGATAATCCGCAGGTATCAATCATAATACATTTTTACAGCTTATCTACATTAATTTTTTTGTAGGGGACACGTTTAAAAATATTTTAAATTAACTATTTGTTTGTTTTATTTCTTATTTTATATTTGGGCGTGGACAAAAGGATCATGGCTCGTACCGTTTAATGGGTCAAAGGTCAACGACCAGGTCAAAGTTTACACTGCTGGTCCCTTCTGTAATACGAAATCCAACTTCAAGGTCATTACCAGCGGCAACAACAGCGCTTGTGTGTGGCTGTCTACATATGAAGAGTTGATTTTCAAAATGCAATATATCCAAAATTTGGGTTTCGAGAAAATCGCACTTTTCTCCTACACGAAGCCATTGTACAATATGCTAAAACTGTTTGTCAATTTAGGTTCATAACCCTCATATACATAGGACTAGAATGGTTTTTGAAATGTACCTGCATAAAAAGATGCTTTTTTTTGGTCCCAAAATTTGCGTTTCGTTGCAAAATGAGGTATATCCAGCTTTTGTTAAGCTACAAAACGCTGTATATCCATTTTTTTTCTAATAATACATCTGATGTCCAATATTTTAGTTTATTATTTTATTAAGACCCACTTATATTCCCAGTGTTATCATCTCACTACAATTGTACCATGTTTTTCTGTTACTTTAAAGTGTTTTTAGTGAGTAATTTCAGTTATTTGAACATTTTTCAAAAATGATGCAAGTCTCTAACGAGAGACTTTAATTTGAAGAGTACAGATTGTTTTTAGGTTCATAACCCTCATATAAATAGGACTAGAATGGTTTTTGAAATGTACCTGCATAAAAAGATGCTTTTTTTTTGTCCCAAAATTTGCGTTTCGTTGCAAAATGAGGTATATCCAGCTTTTGTTAAGCTACAAAATAGAAATAAAATGAAAATTTTGCGCCGTGAAGATTAAAATTAAGTTTTCCTAATAGTAACTGAGTAGCTTTACAATATGGGCACGTTATCTCATTTTTTTCTAAAATGGCGCTTATCGCGTTTTGAAAATCAACTCTTCATATACACGGACCTTCACAGCTGCCAGAGCTGATTGTGGGGGTACGTCATTCTATTTACGGGTCTTGGGTCACGATATATTTCTCGGGTCAGGTAAGGGTCTCAAGCTATGATATGGATATCGGGTTCGGACACGGGTCAGGATACGGGTCTCTAATTTAGGTACGCATCACGGGTAAAGTGGTGGGTTAGGGTCAGGATACGGATCTAAGGCAAGAAAAGCTCGGGGTTAACTCTGGTTATTTCTGTCTTCAGAGTGTTTAAATAAATAAGTGTAAATGATAAGACAAAGTTCACGCTGTTTGAAGTGTTTTTGGGGACATTAGCTCTCGGATCATATCAATACAAATGTTCTTTAACTTATGTATGTGTATGTGTCACATTTTGCAGCTGCATAAAAAATATTATTTTATATCGTCAATTCTTACCGGTCAGCTATTTAAAGCGTTTACTTTTAAGCGGGGTTTTGTTAAATAATATTAGAATAATAATGCTATTTTGTACATTTGCACGTTTTAATGAACGTATATGCAATTGGGATATGTTTATTTGAGATTGATACAAGAGGGTGTGTTGTATTGCGCTTGTAATAAAATAACATTGAATTTTCAACTTGTAGGATATAGTATAACTATGTTGCTTTTACAGCATGAAATATCACAATACTGATTCGCCAACTTCAAATAACAGTATATTAAGTCTCCAGCAATTAGGAATATAATCATATTGATTAACCAACTTGTAAAATAATTATATTGATTCACTAACTTGTAATATAATTATATTAATATATCAACGTGTAATATAATTATATAGATTCTCCAACTTGTAATATAATTATATTGATATATCAACTTGTAATATAATTATATTGATATATCAACGTGTGATATAATTATATTTATTTCCAAGCTATGGGAGGCCACATGTACACAGTAAAAACGTACGAGAAACTCTCTATACTAAGGACTCTACCTGGCCTCTACTGGGTTGGTCTAGATGACATCAATGTAGAGGGAACATTCCGTTGGGACGACGATGGAACTGTTCTGGACAAAAACTGGCAGATGACAATCTTCATGACAGGTACATATATATTTTATCGTGGTCTGCGTTCTGGAGTGATTAGAGTATCAAACGTGTGATGGCAATCTATCAGACTTGTGATGGCAATCTATCAGACGTGAGACGGCTAGCTATCAAACGTGAGACGGCTAGCTATCAGACGTGAGACGGCTAGACGTAAGACTGCTAGCTATCAGACGTAAGACCGCTAGTTATCAGACGTGAGACGGCTAACTATCAGTGTTTCTTCCAGACTTTTTTCTCCGGGGGGGCACTTGAAATCTTCGGGGGGGGCGGTAAACTTTCTTCGGGGGGGGGCGGACGCTGTTAAAAGTATATATTTTCTATATAAATTATATAAATTTCATTTCGTTCGGGGGGGGGGGCGGTAAATTTTTTTCGGGGGGGCTTCGCCCCCCCGAAGAGATGCCTGGAAGAAACTCTGCTAACTATCAGACGTGAGACGGCTAACTATCAGACATAAGACCGCTAACTATCAGACGTGAGACGGCTAGCTATCAAACGTGAGACGGCTAACTATCAGACGTGAGACGGCTAACAATCAGACGTGAGACGGCTATCACAGGAGAGTGAAACTAGTCTTAGGCATGTACAGCGGCGTAGCAGATCTCCCACTGACCGGCATAAATTTGAATCCTACGTGTTTTCTTGTCGAGAGCAATGGCGCTGTTTTTCTAGCGAATGAATAATTTACAGTATTAAATGGGATTGTTATCTACTCAGATATTTTCCCTTTTATATATTTGCATAGGTTCACTAATACAGTCCTGTTAAAATTATGTTTATCGGTACAAGATGCTTTAAAAATTCTAACATTTCAACTTCCAGTAAATTAGGACATCAGAGAGAAACAAAATGGGGTCCTGTAGGGCAAGCTAAATAAATAAGTCAAAAGTAGAAGAAGAATTGGTCTGGATTAACCCATCACTATGAACATGCAGTCAAAGAAATAGAATACGATTTTTAATACTTTAATCACACATCACGAAATTGTAATCGATAAAATACAGTACGATTCAGAGTAATTTTTGTCTTTTTAAAAATAATGAAGTAAGAAACAGATATCGAGCCTCTAGACTCTAGATACTGGTTTATTTGTTACTTAAAATAAAAGCTCGTCCACTTTGGCAATATGGTTGCTACGCCAATAAGGATGTAGGCTATTAAAGTCATTTAATTTTAATTGCATATGTTTTATTGAAGTCACAGCGGCCGAGCATCGTTGCGTCAATACATTTACAGATTGGCTGAGGGAAGTTAGGACGTCACTGAGTCTATTTAGCTATCATGGGTACCTAACCTGACTAACGTTGAAGGACGTAAAGGCGGATGGGCATAGTAAATGACCACACAGTCCCTGCATGTACCGTTACCATAGAAATAGATGAACTCTGTGTCATCTGCCCTATTGACCGTCAGGTTTGAAAGGGTAACCAATGAGATTGAGCCACAGTACTAGATTTCTTCTTTTTTCATATGTACCGACAGCGCTGAATTAATATTTATCTAATATGTCATGACACTTATTAATAAAATGCCTAATTTTTAAAATTGATTATCTTTCAAATTTTTGCATCTTATTTTTATTTCTTGTTTAAAATGCCATAATACAAAAAAATGAAAAGTCAAATCTCTTCGAATTTCAGGCGAACCAGACAATAGCGGCGATTCTGACTGTGTTTTTTACTACCCTATCAACTCTGGACTGGGCGATGGTGGCTGCTCAGATTACAAAAACTTTATTTGTGAAATATAATTGCAAAATACATTTTAAATATTTCACTTTTAAAAAAATTATGAAGATTAGCAACATTTTCTTAACACCCCCCCCCCCTCGTCCAGTCCTTGCGCTTTCAGAATGAGATTGTCACTCTGACAAATTAATGGTTTTGATTTTATTGATTTTTTAAAATCACTGTCATAGTACTTTAGCAAATTACATTCATTGGTTTATCTCTAAAATTTCGACTTGTTGTGCTATTGTTTCGGTGTACAGTGGTTTGATATGGTTCTACGTAATATTGTAAATAACAGGGGAAAAATTATCGCAAATCAGCCTTCTTAACTGCAGTCCACATATTGCAGGAAATGAGTTTTTTTTTCACGGGGATTATGCTCCTATTATATAACATGATATATATGTTTTTAATATAACCTAACCATCATTATTAAACTTCATCGTTGGAAGTATCAACTTTTTAGAAAAGAGATACAAATCTTTGAAATACTGTGTAAATTATCTCTGATCTAAACGATATCTCTTTACCGAAAAAAAGTACTTTTTAAAATGTGCATAACTTGTTAATATTTTGTGGGGGTTTAAAAAAAACAACGACATAACTTCGTTTATATTTTACTCGTCGTGTCTACTATGTAGCGGTCATACATTTAAATGTACTATCATACTTAGTTGCTTAAGTAGTTTAATAACGACTATGTATCCACTTGAAACCAGGAAATTCATTCTTTAAAGTAAACAAAACAAACAGTTAGCAAAACTTATGGACTATCCTATTTGTCCTGTAGTCGCCTTTCTCTAGTTGTTATCTTATGCTGTGTTTTTATTGACTTATTTAAATTAAACATATAAAATGACATTTCATATTTTTATAGCGCAGTGTCTGTTCAGTGTTGTATTCACGATGTGTGTTAACAAAGGCGCATATGCTGGATCGTCACAAGATGTAAAAAAGAAAACTGATTTAAACATACTTAAAACTCAGCAATGGTTGGACGATCATAAATCTAAGTCCAGCGAATTCTCTTGTCCAAAACAGTGTCGCTGCTTATCTGACAAAGGAATAATTTACAGTATTAAATGTGATTGCCTGGTTAATATGCCGATGTTCCCTTCCACTGTTTTAGATCTACAACTTGATGGGTGTGGGAATTCAACATTAGCCTGTGGTTTACTTGATGGATTAGACCAGTTGAAAAACTTAACCCTGGAAAGTTTTAGAGCGATCGATTTTTGCGAAACGTTTTTTCTATTTCAAAAATTATCTTTACGATATATGGACCTGGCATACAACGTAATTCCAGAATTAGCTGGCAACGTGTTTCAAGGACTTCAAAACTTACAGTTTCTCTCAATGGCGCAGAATGGTCTAAAGATTTTAAATGCTAATACATTCTCTGGTCTAACAAGCCTAAAAGAGTTAATTATTATAGAAGATTTTAATTTAGACATTTCTGATGCAGCATTTGTAGGGCTCAATAATTTGACAGATTTAAAATTCCTCATCTTAAATTTTACGATAGATGAAAATCGTTTTCATGAGCAAACATTAGAATCAGGTAAGTATTCAGCATTTTATCTATTACTTTTTTTCCGGTGATTTATTTTTGTCCTTTTGGAGTATTTCCCTTCATTTGTTTGGTATGAATTATATATTTTTGGGTTATTTTTATTATAATAATTTCTATTATACTCCAACAATATAATCACTTACCAAAAAAGATACTTTAAACAGTTCTTCGAAATCGAGATCTAAATATATTCATTACTTTCTTTATTATTTTATTTACTGACAATTTACAACATTTATTGCCAGTGTTTCACAAATAAATTAAAATAAATACATTTTTAAAAAATTAATTGAAACATTAACAAATAACTGAGTTTCTTCTTCTTCTTCTTCGTTCTTAATTTTTGAATATGGTGGAGGAATTAGACAACAAGTCCAACTTCATGGACAAACCGGACTGTGGTTTCCAGTTTGTCAGGTGTCCCATATAATTTTTCCCTGAGTGGGGTGGGCTGGGGCCAGTGTCTGCCTCTTGCCTGGCTATACAGAGTACAATCCTGGAGTACGTGCTCCGTGTTTTCCGGGGCCTTGCCACAAGGGCACATTTCGCTACACCCAACCTTCAGTTTTTTGTGCATGTGTTGATTTAGTCTGTTGTGGCCTGTTCTAAGTCGAAAGATTATGTATTGTTGTTTTCGTGTTAAATTGTAATAGCCGTCGTCTTTAATGTAGTGAGGATGTGTGACAGACCACACTTGCGTTTGTTTGTGTTTAATTATTCTTTTTATTTCTTTTGGGTGTAGCGAAATTTCCGGTTGTGGTTTCTTTCCCCCAATTTTTGCCAGCTGGTCTGCGATCTCGTTACCCTGGATCTGGCAATGGCCCGGGATCCACTGCAGCACAATTCTGCTGCAGGTATTTTTTAGCCTCTCTAGTGCTGTCATGAGTGTTTGAATATAGGACTCCGGATTTTGTAGGGATTGCAGGACTGATTTGGCATCTGTAAGAAATACAATCTGACTATTCGGTGATTCAGGGTGTTCTGACAGGAGGTTTGCTGCGTGTTCTAAAGCTTCTTTTTCTGCCCTAAAATTGTCGGATAGGCTGCCTGTGGCTATTGCCTTTTCCAGGCTTTTTCCGCTTGGCCATTCAATAAGGATGCCAGCCCCGCCGTTTTTTGTGGCATCTTCAGCTGAGCCATCTGTGAAAACTCTAATCCAGGTATTGCTGGGGTACTGATCCTTAATGTGTTTATTTGTTATTTTCTTAAGTTCTTCTAGATCATAGTCAGATTTTTTTCCTATGGTGTCTATTGAGTCAATAATGGTTAAGTGACAGTGGGAGATCCAACGCGGGGAGAGGTTTTGAGTTTTTATTGCTTCAGGAATGATATTTTCGATTTCATATTTCTTTTTCAGATTCTTTGCTTCTTTGATGAAACTTGTTCTTTGTAGTCTGGTTGATGGACTGGGTTTCTGGAGTTTTTGTTTTAGGTTATGGTTTTCCAGTGCCTCTAGCTTTGTATAATGAGTGAGGATTTTTGATTCTCTTCTTTCTTCTATTGAGCTAAGAGCGGCTATTTCCTCCATAGCATTTATGGGTGTTGTTTTCATGGCTCCTGTCATTATTCTCAAACCAATGTTCTGAACTTTGTCAATTTTGCTAATATTTGTTTTTGCTGCTGAGCCCCAAGCCGAAGCACCATATTCTAACGTAGGTCTCACATAGCTGGTGTAGGTTTTTTTCAGGATGTGGTGATTTGCTCCCCAGTCTGTTCCTGCCAGTTTCCTCATTAGATTAAGTCTTTTGATCCCATTACTTTGTGTGTTTTCTATTTGTTTTCTCCAGGTAAGTCGAGTGTCAAAAGTGACTCCTAGGTATTTGGGGTGGTCATTTTTTTCTAGCTCTTGGTTTTCTAGGGTAAGTTTCATTTTTTGATGTTTAGTTGATAAGGTGAAGATTGAATAAGTTGTTTTCTTGGTATTGATGGATAAGCCCCAGTTTTTGGTCCATTTGCCGAGCTTGTCAAGTGTTTCTTGAAGACGAAATTTTGAGGTACCAATATATTCCTCTGTGCTGATTAGTGAAAGGTCGTCTGCAAACATGCTTCTTTTTACTCTCCTTGGGATGTTTTCATTTAAGTCATTTATATAAATGAGGAAGAGAGTAGGAGACAAGACTCCTCCTTGAGGGACTCCATTTTTTATAGTTACTGTGTGACTTCTTTTTCCTTGCATGGAGACTGATGCTTTTCGGTTGCTTAGGTAACCTTTTATCCAGTTTAGCATGTTATGAGATACTTGATGGTTTATTAGCTTTAGAATTAAGCCTTGCTCCCAAACCTTGTCAAAGGCTTTTTCAAAGTCGACCCACACTATTGAGGTTGGTTTTTTTTCTTGAAAGCCATCTTCTATTTCCTGAGAAATGAAGGTGATTTGGTCTTCAGTAGATCTGCACTTCCTGAAGCCTGCCTGTTCGTCTGCTAGTAGATTGTTCGATTCTAGAAACCAGGTCAGTCTGTTGTTTACTACTCTTTCCATCAGTTTACAAACGCAGCTTGTTAAACTTATTGGGCGATAGCTATCGACTTTGTTCCTGGGTTTTCCTATTTTTAGAACAGGTATCATGATTGCTTTTTTCCAAATATTTGGGATTTTCCCAGATTTCCAGCTTGCATTAAATATTTGGAGCAGTTTTTTCTTAGCATTGGGGCCCAAGTGCATGAGCATATCATTTGAGATTTTGTCAGGGCCTGGAGCTTGCTTAAGTTTGAGGAGCTTCATTGCTTCTCCGAGCTCCTTCTTGCTAATTCGAGCTACCATTCCAGTGGAGGAGGGGGGAGAGACTTTCTGTAGTTTTTCTTTAACTTCAGTTTGATTTTTAACCTCTTCTACTCTTTGGTGGCTGATATTTATTTGTCCCACTTTGCTGAAGTGGGTTATAAATTCTTTTGCTGCATCCTTTTCTGTTTTTATCGTGTTTTCAATGTCGATGACTATGGGAGTAGCTCTGTTTTCTTCTTGGTTTAGCCTTTTTGCAATACTCCATAGTTTATGACCATCTCTATCTACATTGAGGTGTTCTGTTTTTTCTTGCCAGCTTTTCCTCAATGCAGTTAGATACTTTTTTCTAAAGACTGCGTTTGCTGATTTTAATTTTATGTTATTTTCTACAGTGGGATTTTCTTCAACAATGTTTCTAGCATCAATTGTCTCGTCATGGAGAATCTGGAGGTCTGGAGTCCAGTTTGGGATATAATTTTTCCTTGCTCCCCTTGGAATAGATTTTTTGGCTGCTAACAGAACTGCTTTTGAGAAGGCTGTGTATGACTTGTTCACCTGGTTGGTTTTACAGTTGATTGGTCTTGTGTAGGAGTCTGTGAGGGAAGAGAAGAGCTCCCAATTAGCTTTTTTGTAGTTCCATCTAGGGCGGGGGTAGGCTTCAATTGGCCTGTTTGATGTTTCTATCTGTATCAGGATTGGTCGGTGGTCGCTAGTGGCTAGTTGATCTGCAACTTCTCTTTTGCATTTTTTGGATATGCCATTAGTAGCAAAAGCTAGGTCGGGGGTAGTCGTGGTTAACCAAGACCTTGAGTAAAAAGTTGGTTTGTCATCAGGTTTATTTAGAAGGATGAGCCTATTTTCTGCTTGCCATTCTTCAATTTCCTCTCCTTTAGCATTGAGGTCAGGGTAACCCCAGCTCTGGGAGTGGCTGTTCGTGTCTCCCACAACCAGGCACTCTTCGCTGTTTGGCAGGGAGATGCGGTCCAGTTCCAGGTCCTTATCAGGAGGACAGTAGCAATTGAAGATATTTAGGTTACCTTCTGCAAGTATGAGTTTGGTGCCCATTATCTCAGATGCTGTTGAGTTTGGTATAACGATATCTGTTGTTGGAATGTCATTTTTTATGAGAATGAGGATACCTCCTTTAGGTCTGTTTTCCCTGTCCTGCCTTATGCAGGTGTATCCTCTAATAGAGAAGCGAAGATTGTTGTTGAGGTGAGTTTCTTGAATACAAGCAACGTCTACTTTATTTTCATGTAGGAATATTTTTAAGGCTTCCTTTTTTTATGAACTCCCTCTGCATTCCACTGCAGGATAACAAGTAATTTGTTGTTTTCCTCACTATTTTGGCCAGTAGAATTTACCTTCTGATCCTTGCCCCTGGCTGGCCAGGCAAGAATAGAGGAACCACCAGCTCGCTTTTGTGGGCTCCTTTGAGGCGGAGAGCCCGGCCCCCTACCTGCGCGGCGGGATTCCACAGGCAGGACGCCACTTCTGTTAGTCCTATTTCTTTCCTCCATCATAAAATTAAGCAGTGCGTGCCAGCATGTTATGCGCCATACTGGATGGCCCGTTGACTCCGACTTCAGCCTGCTTTTCTTTCTGGATTTGCTTCCATAGCCTTTGATCACCCAAGAACAAACTACAAGGCAGTAGCTGTTTGATTTTGGAGTTGTCTCTCCTAGTGAATATATAACTGAGTGAAGTATCAACTAGATATAGGAATAACTTTAACATAATACATCTATTTGATATAATAGGTGGAGGTCTTGTGTATGAGACAAAACAGAGTTTGTGTAAACATGATAAAAGTCTTTGTTTCGTTGTGTAGCCGGTATCCCATTCCTCAAAGATACAGGGTTGTCTAGTATACTACTGAAACGTATCGGAATTCGTGTTTGAATGTTTCTTTTATTGTCGGAAACACTGAAGCTCTACAATATAGAATTAGATTATAAGAAGCCTACTTAGCACGAGAAAAAAAAACAATTTGAAATGAATGTAAAAACGAAAATTTAATCTAAGGCTGTAACTAAAAATAAAAGACTCATTCTAATAGAAAATAACAAGAAAAAATTCAAAACGGAGTTCTGTTCTGTTAGCTTTTTTTAAAAGAGCCTCCCCCCCCCCCCCCCCACCCCTATCTCCCAAAATCTTAGAGAACGCGAAAGATGTTGAATTTCTTCTAAATTTTTTTTTTGCAGATTCAAGCAATCCAATTTACCCATCAGCTACGTGTTACCCAGATAAGGCAATCTCAGTTTTATCAAACCTACAGACTATTGATTTAGTTGGTAGAAACTGCAAATTAGGCTCGGGATTTCAAAAACTTAAACGGCTGGAAAATATAACTTTTCGCTACGCATGTAATATAACGCAGTTGAGCGATTTCCATTTCGCAAATATACATTCAGATCGTAACATATCGATTTATTTAAGAGCGTGTCCGATTTCTACATTTGCAAAAACTTCTTTTGTAATGAAATCAAATTTAATAAGTCTTGATCTATCTAATACGAAATTATCAATACAGCAAATTTTAGACTCTGTTCAAATTTTTAAAAATCTACGCGAGCTATCAATAGATTTTTTGATAAGCATTAAAACGTGGTATTCATTAGAATCAGTTTTAGCTTCGTTTGTAGAAACTAAAATATCGTATTTAAATCTAGATGGTAATAATCTATTGATGTCGTCGGTAACTGATACTTTTAAGTTCCCACCTAATTTGGAAAGTCTTTCTTTAAGATACTCTAACTACATTGATATTGAAATCTTTATTACTGCGTTAAGAATGGGGCCTAGAAACTCATTGAAACGACTTACAGTAACACAGACAACACACATTAAAAAGAAGGATAATGTACGTTGGCAAAAGTAAGTTATTATTATGAGGGACGGTAATGTAAGAAATATGCTGTTAATTGAGAGATATTCGGACATTGGCCAAAATATGTTGTGTTGCGAAAGATGGGGTGTTTGATGGTGTGGTTTTGAATGTTGGTGGATGTTTAGGATTTTGTCTGCCCAATGTGTGAATGTGTGTGATGTGTGATGTGGTGTGATGGGGTGGGGTGCATGGTAAGACGTGTAGAGCGTAAGCTTAGACTCTAAGCTCCACCAACACGAAGAGATGCCTCGAAAAAACTCTGGCCCCCGAACTGATATTTGATAGTTAATGCCGCCCTCGGGCTGAAAAGTTTGGAGACCACTGACTTAAAGGGATTGCGATTCTCGATATGCAACGAATGTTGTGAGTTTGAATGTGTGGGTATTTAATGTGAGGTTTGAATGTGTGGGTAATTGATGTGCGGTTTTAATATGTGGGTATTTGATGTGCGGTTTAAATGTGTGGGTATTTGATGTGAGGTTTAAATGTGTGGGTAATTATTGTGAGGTTTGAATGTGTGGGTATTTGATGTGAGGTTTATATGTGTAGGTATTTATTGTGAGGTTTGAATGTGTGGGTATTTGATGTGAGGTTTAAATTTGTAAGTAATTATTGTGAGGTTTGAATGTGTGGGTATTTGATGTGAGGTTTAAATTTGTAAGTAATTATTGTGAGGTTTCGTGTTGGTTGCGGGACGGGATCTGGTTTGGGGTTTAGCTCATAGTGTCGTGCGGGTTTAATTTAATAAGAATTACATCAGATTTTGGTTTGGGGTTTAGCTCATAGTGTCGTGCGGGTTTAATTTAATAAGAATTACATCCGATTTTGGTTTGGGGTTTAGCTCATAGTGTCGTGCGGGTTTAATTTAATAAGAATTACATCAGAAAATCTATGATGTGTTGTAATCACAGCCATTTTTCTGACCTCCAAAAGTGCATTTTTAACTTTCACAAAGTAGCGAAGCACGTATATATATATATATATATATATATATATATATATATATATATATATATATATATATATATATATATATATATATATATATATATATACATATATATATATATATATATATATATATATATATATATATATATATATATATATATATATATATGATATATATGTGTGTGTGTGTGTATGTGTGTGTGTGTGTGTTTCTCTATGTGTGTGTTTGTGTATTTTAAAATATTAAAGTTTAAATCTGTAACGTTTATACTACGATAACAAAATTAATGGTCGTCCTTTTATTTTAATCCAAGCATGAGTCGCAATTTTACACCGAGACAACTACATCAAGAACTTACAGAGGACAATGGTGTATCCAAGTTGGAGTACTTGAATGTGGCTGGTAACTCGTTTGGGAGATTCTCACCAATTGACTTGTTAAAGGGCATGAACAGTCTAAAAGTATTAGACGTATCAAGGTCTCCAATGGGCATGTATCTTCTAACATATACTACTAGTCCTTTACCTAATTTCCTATCACTTAGAGAGCTGATATTAGATGACTGTTTTCTAAATTTTATTCAAAAAGGTTTCTTTTTCCCCAAAAATCTGAAAAAGTTATACCTAAGTGGAAATGATTTGAAAGTATTTCGATCTTCAACAGTTAAACAATGTGCATTGACTTATTTAGATCTGTCATACAATAGCTTACCTGGGTTATCCAATGAAATGTGCACCCAACTGAAAAGATTTCAGTCTGAAGATAGCAGCTTTAGGATAAATTTACTACTCAACGAATTTCAATTTACGTGCACAAATATCCAGATTCTGCATTTATTAGCTGACCACCAACACATGTTCGTTGACGTAGATGATCTGAAATTTATCACAGCATCAAATGTTGTCTTATATTACACGGAAATGATCGAACTACTTCCTAGACTGACCAAAAACTGTGCGATCAAAGAAAACTTCAGTTACGTGCTGTCATTGTTTTTCACCCATCTCCTATGTTTGCTTGTTCTGGCCGTGTTTTTCCATTACCGCTGGAAGCTGAGGTACCTCTACTTTATTGGTCAACGGCGGCTGCACATCGGTGGACGTTTGGTCAACTACAACCCACAGGTTGATGTCTTCATCACCTATGACGAGGTAAAAATACCTGTTAATAGTTTTTTACACACAGGGCATGTGCTAGGCCATTACTTTACACATTAGTCAAGATAAAAAAACAGGGTTCTTTACAATTATAAATTTTCAGTGTCTTAATAAACTCTCATAGAATAGAACGGCGTACATTTAGTATAATATTTGTTATAAAACATAATTATAAATAGCCTATATTAACATTCCTACTATTCTTAGTTTAAGTATAAAAATATGCTAAATCTCTTTCAAATCTTTTCTTCTGATAGAGATATTATTTTCTCCCTCGTTTGTTTAATGCGAACTGTTTTGTCGATGTAATTGTAAATATATACGTGTGTTGTCAATAGGGTGAAGTAAGAATCCGTCAGATTGTAAGAAATATCATCCTGCCATTCCTGAGAGAGAAGAACATCTCTTACATTTTAGGAGAAGTGGACTTTCCAGGTGGGGACATGACGTCACACATCAGTGGAGCTATAACTGGCACAAGAAAAACGCTGGTCTTGTTGTCTGAAGATCTTTTCTTGGATCACTACCGAGAGTATGAGATGAACCTGGCCATCATGCGAGAGTTCAATGTACGGGGTCAGGTTATCGTTCCTGTCTTTGTTGAGAGGGTCGACTTGAATACATACCCACCTGAAGTAGAAACTTATTTAAGGAATCAGCTGTACAGGTGTCTGGTCTACAGAAATAACCAAACTTTCTGGACACTTCTGTTACATGCTATTAGAAACGACAAATAGTTTGCCAAGCTATTTCAGACTTAGCTTAGTATTTAACATTTATGTTTCAAAGTTTTGAAATTCTCTACAATCTTTAAAACTGATCAAATGTTGTTAAAGCATTGAGCAAATAATATCAAATACATTTTAAAATAAAACGGTGTCCCTATCCAGAAAATTATAGCAAGACTAATGTTATTATGCTATGAATACAATATTTGTTTTTAAAATGTTTGTTTTTATTTATCTATTTATATTTTAAATTCAACCATATCTTCGTTTTTAACTTCAATATTGAAGATATGACTTTAAAATACCGTTGACAAATAATTTTTCTCTGAGTTGGGTTATTTTCATGGGAGCTGAGTCTACACCGTGTCTATTCATTCAAGGTATAGTCTGGGTTTTTCATAGGCCTAGCTACAAGTGTATTGTTGGTACCACAGTCTGAGTTTTATTGGGGCCAAGAACATTAAACTATTGGTACCAGTTCATCTAATGTTGCTTCATCCCAGAGGCGTAGCGACCCTTCCCGGCGCCCGGGGACAAACTTTCGATTTGCACCCCCCCCCCCTCAAATAATTTGTTTTTCCAACCCATTTTAGCGCCCCCTAAGGTCGGCGCCCGGGGACATATGCCCCCCCCCCCTCGCTACGCCTCTGCTTCATCCTATTGTTGTCTGTAGTTAGTCCCGGTGTGTCAGATTACAGTGAACGTCATCATTGCCGTAAACGTCAATAATTCGATGTTTTTGTTTTATTTTTATTTTCGGCTGTACCTAATCTATACATTTTTACGCCACAGTACGGAAACTCCAGTTCATGAAGTACGCACGTTTTTTTTTTAATGCAAGCTGGACTGGAAGTCATATTTTGTGGTTGAAAACCATCGCTAATAACGAATTTTGCGTATTTTTTTGCCACAGGACTTCGCTGTTATAACGAATCCCAAATAGCAAATGTAACTGTCTTTCATAACATCAAGGCTTTATTGTAAACACACTATCCCTTCCTATGCCGAATCACATAAACAGGTGATCTCTACTTCACCTGTTCCATGGATCGGCAAGTTCGAAAGGGTAACTTTATAACATCACTAAAAGACTAAAAAAACAAACAATGTAAGTTACATCCTAAAACAAACGGACGTCACTGTAGTGCTATTCTTGTGTTGTCGAGTTCTCTAACGACACTTATTCTGATACAATCATTTATAAGTGTGCTCTTGAGTTGAATGTTACTTGTTAGTTTTACATGAAAGTTCTACCACTTGAACGTACTAAGCATAGATTTTACCCTCTAGATTTAGATGTTGGGAAAACACGCTGGTGTTGAATAGTTAGTGCTGGTCAGGATTGAGCCTAACATAAATACAAGTTTTATACCTCCAATATGTATTCTGTATGTTAGTATGGTAATATAGAATTATTTAGAGTAAACTAACAAGAAATAATACGATTACTCAATGACTAGAATAAGAGTTTTGAATCATAATAAGTAAGTACTATAAGTTACTAAATATATAATTCTTCACGTGGACACCACGACGTATCTAACCCTCCTCCCGCCCTCTGCCTCGCTCTCCAGTCTGGTGAGTTATGGTTCACGCCGAATGTTTACAATCGGAGAGTCGGGTCAAATTAGTAACGGTTATTAGGGGCAGATAATTAAGTTTTTAAACGATTTGAAACTAAAGGGAGGCTGTTTTCACTGGGGGTGAAAGGTGGTGGAAGGGAGTGGAAGAGTGGGGGGGGGGGGGGTAATCGTCATTCTCGAGCTACTGATAGTGTTTTAAAGCAAATAATTTCAGCCGCAGCATTGGTAGTGTCGAATTCACAAATTATCAATTACTGAAAAGTAAAAAATAAAACAACTAAATAGCGGCGTGTGCTATGCCGCGGGTCGGCTCATAATTTATAAAAAGACAGTTTTAAAAAGTAAAAAAAAAACTGCCTGTTCATCTAGAGCAGGGGTCTCCAAACTTTTCAGCCCGAGGGCCGCATTAACTATCAGATATCAGTTCGGGGGCCAGAGTTTCTTCCAAGCATCTCTTTGGGGTGGCGGTATCCCGGTACCCCCTCCCCCCCCCCCCCCCAACGAAATATATACACATTTTAAATGCACCCCCCCCCTACCCTGGAGAAAAAGTTTGAAAGAAACATTGTCGGGGGCCAACAACACACTCGAGGTCCAAGTATGTTCTCCTTGGGCAAACACAAAAACCCACCCGCCATTTTTGAACTTGTCTCTAAGGAGGTAATTTGCTTGCTGTTCAATGACCTCCATCTGCAGTTCATCTTGGCAACAGGTTACATTTGCTTCAAATGGGTTTTGAAACAGTCTCACTTCTGCCTTTGAATCCTAGTCAGAAAACCGCTACTGAAACTGCAGTTGGAGGTCTTGTTAGCAGTTTTCACTATTTGAGTCACAATGTTTCCATCAATGTCTGCAACACGGAGGGCAATGGTATTTGCACCCAAAGCTACATTTTCAAATTGTTTTGAATTTTCGGGGCAAAGCTCCTCAGCCATTTCTAACAAACATTTTTCTCCGTGAACAAAAAGATCTCCGCGGGCCGGATAAGAGGACCTCGCGGGCCGTAGTTTGGAGACCCCTGATCTAGAGTAAACGAAAATAAACATTTCCTGAGTTTTTGGGTGACAACAGTCAAGTAATGACTTACAATTATAAAACTTTAATTAATTAAGCTTTGTTATCGTCTAACTAGATGTCTCACACCCTACCCAGCTGCTGTGCCTCTTGAAGAGCTCTGTGACAGGGCTTTTACAAATGGGTTTTTGATTAATTTAAAAAAAAAATATTAATGAAATAAAGAGCTATTTTTTCATGCTAATTTTAAAGAATAAACTCCTTCCCAAAACATTGCAGGGAAAATATTGATGTAAAAACTGCCAATTTTAAAACTCCCATTTAATTTTAAATTCATAGCATGTTGCTTTATCTCCATTATCACAGCAGAGAATATTTAAGCTTGTTCTGAAAATCATGATACATGATTTGCACTGAATTGTGTGAATTTGCTAATTATTATTATAATTGTTTTATATTTAAAATGTATATTTACTACAGACTATTATTCTATATAATGTGACATTTCTATAGCCCTGGAAGTGCCTACTGTTATACAAAAATATATGACAAATTAAGAAATACAAACGAAGTTCAAAACAATATGGAACATACACAAAACAATAATCAAGGTGTCAATATTTTAATACAATAAAATACATGCACAAAATTTACAATTTTTATAATTTACAACAGAAATACACCAACCCTATTAAGTAGGAGTTCTACTTAACATAGCGGTGTGATTGTCATTCTTAAATAGGGGAGACAACTAAAATCAAAGTTCAGAAGGAACTTAACCCTACCACACATAAAACAACTAAAATTAAATGGGAAGAAAACCACACAATTTTAAAAATAATAATTGTATGATTCAATAGTTCTAAGTGCTGCTAGGCATGTAGGCCTTGGTTTGTTTTTAAAAATTGATATATGATTGTGTTTTGGTATCACAAGCTGCTATTTACAAAAGTGAAGTCAATGACTTCTCTCCCCTTTAACACAAATTCAAACAGTTTTTCTTACTCCAATAAATGCAGTCATACACTAAAAAATAAAAGATGACTGGAAAATATTCAGTCTTTAAAATGTACGAAAACAATAAATTTACTTTTAAATACATACTGGGATGAATAATATTATAACATAAACTAAATGTGAGCTTTAAGTAATAAAATAAAAAAACAGTCGACTTCAGTGAAATTGTTATTCACTTAAAACATTACAGTATACACAGTTTAGTATAAGGCTATACAATATTTTAAATGATATGTTGGCTACTAGCAATGGTATAGTTATAGTGGGTACAGGAATAAATGAACGTAACATAGAAAGATATAGAACAAGTATGGATTTCTGTATATTAAGGAGAGTTGAGACAGTAGCACCATATCTGACTGGTCAAAACAACTTTAAACTAATAATATTTAAGGAGGAGCATAAAACTTAAAATAATCCACAGAAAAGATTTTAAACAAATTAAAATTTCCACGATGAATAATTAGCTCAATTAGCTGCCTTCAAAATTATTGCCTGATATTATCTGAGTCTCAGATGAATATTATGCAGATGTAGAAATTTGAAAACCTCCCAGCTAATTTTAATCCCAAATTGATTTAATCTGGTTTGACTATTAAGGTAAAGCTAAAAAAATATTTGCTAAAATGGAAAAGTGCCCCAACCTGCATAGGTGACTGCAAGCTAAAAAATACTTGATGTATGACTATACCAAGCATCAATTTTAAAACTGATGATGAAGGACCACATTCAAGTTTTAAGTGTGGTAAATTTCTTTGTTCTCCTAGATCTTACTGAAGAAACCTTGAATACAGGTAACTGTTTAGTTTAACAAGTTTTCTTAATTTTTAGCTTGCTACTTTTAATAGAATTTTTTCTAGTGGAAATGTAAATGCTATCAACTGCGCACAAGTTAATATATTTTTTAGACTCCAGAATATTTGTGCTCTATATTTTTCTGAAAAATTTTCATCCTAAAAAAATGTATCTTCATTCATACTAACACTTCTTTAATGCAATGAAATGGAAAAAAAAAGAAACAAAAGAAATACTGCCATTCTTGTTAAATATGTCAGCTGCTCTTATTGTTTTAGTCCATCTGTTAGTTAAAAAAAGCTTTAGGGAGGAAAAAAACTTTGCTGTTGCCAGGTTGATATGAGTGACATTATTATCCCCCTTTTTCTGCACAAATCCAGTTTAAAACTATATCTGAACTTTCAGTTATGAGATTTTTTTTTAAAAAGTATTCATAATTTTGTAAAAAAAAAATGTATGTTATATAAACCAAATTAATTATTGGAAAATAATAGACCTCTTATGATTTACCCAGTTGTATCTATACACAGACAAGAATTCTCCTCCCTATCATCAAGCTGTGAGGTTTCATCTAACAGTGATTTGGACATTACGAAATGATCAGCACTGGGACGAAAGTTTCCAGACATATCAGACATATAGCAGTTCAAAACAATTTAACATTAGCATGTATTGTACGCATTAATGCTTATTTCTACTTTAATAATTAGAAATTATTACTTCAAAGGGAGACAAACATAACATTTGTAGGCAAACAATCTGAAAACACATTCTTCAGTTAGACAGTATTAAAACATACATTAAATATGAGCACCATGCATTGTGTACAATATTTACAATAAATGTCAGCATAAAAAGCTTATGTGACATGGAGAAATTGCACAAAAACCTTATAAAAATTATTTTCTATTTTCTTGACTAGTTATCGGAGTGTACAATAGCCTAGCAATTAAAAAAAAAAACAACTGTGGTTTTAAAAAAGCAATTTAAAAAATTACACTTTTCAAAATATTGTTAAAAAATATGAATAAAAATTGAAATTTTAAAATAATTTAAAGTTTGAATAAGATATTACATTGAAAATATGTCGGGTAGAAATTTAGAAAAAAATATGAAGAGACATTTGTATTAAATGAGCTCACTTGTCATTTTGTGCAGTGGAAAGAAGAATGAACTAAATTTATGTTAATTGCTATTTTACAAAAATTCTAACCTTGCAGAATTATTATAAATAAAACAAACATAGTGATTTATATATCAATACAACATAGTGCTTCATTAAAATTGTACAAATAATTTTCTGATCATTCTTTTTGTTTATATCTAAAAAAACTATTTTAATGCTGTAAAATTTATTGAGACTGTTAAAAAAATAACGTAAAATATTTAGTAAAATTTCAAATGTGTTTTAAAACAATTAACATTTTTTAAAAAGTGCATTGCAACAAAAGCCATGATTTTTAAACAGTTTGTTTCTGGTAGCAGGTCAGGCAAAGACCTCTGACCTCTTCTGTATATAAAAACTTAACTCTCCCTACTGAAACACCCAGTTTCGTCATCTCTACTGACCACATTTATTTCTAAACAGAGGTTGTCTGTGGTAGAAGGCCAGGCAAAGACCCCTTCTGTATAGTGGTGAACTTACTCTCCCTACTGAAACACCCATCTTTGCTGACCACCTGGTCCATTGCACTGATGCTGCTGTGGCGCTTGGACTGGCCCTCGGGTGGCCTCAGCGTTGTTGTCTTCTGACTAGATGTCTCACACCCCACCCAGCTGCTGTGCCTCTTGAAGAGCTCTGGTCCAGGTCTTTTACAAATGGGTTTGATAACAAGAAGAGTTGTCTCCGGTGAGAGAATTCTCACTTCCTTGTTGGGCGAGGTTTTTTTGGAAGAGGTTTTCGGTGAGAATTCAGACAAAGAATGATGGGACGTGCCGTTATTTTGCGAGGTGAGATCTTTTTTTAAATTGTTGTTTGTTTCATACTTGACAGACTGCTCTGTGAGTGTTTCCTGTGATGAATTTTTTGATGATTTATCCTCCTCTTCAACATCATTTAGCTTCATGTCTCTGATTATCTCTTGTAAAACTTGTGTGGAATTTTTAACATCTACATCCTTTTTAACTTCCTTTGGAACTTCTGCCTTTTTAACTTCCTGTGTTTCAACAACTTTTTTAACTTCCTTCAATTCAACAACTTTTTTAACTTCCTTTGGAGATCTGCTACCTGAAGACACTATTTCAAAACTTTTATTTAATGTTTGTTCTGACTTCGTTAAGCAAAGTCTTCTAAGGTCTTGTTCTGCAATGCCGTTGATCTTTGGATCTTTAATAGGCTTACACTTATAAATATCTTTACTGGGTTCCTTGATACAAAATCCTTTTTTGACTAGTTCAGAATCACTGTTTAATGAGGAAAGACTAGAATGCTGTATTGGTATGGGTGCGGAAATCTTCAGTTTAGAAGGATCGGAGTCAATCTTTAGGTCATCTCGTACTTTCTTCCCAAAAGCTCTGCCAAGAGAGCCCTGTAAAAAAACAAGGATGAAACAATTAAGCTCCAATGTTGAAGGATAGGTGAATGGGTTAATTACATCAACAAGCTTGTAGTTTTTGTTATTTATAGGTATGTCATGCACTCATTAAGATAAATAATTATTATTATGGTTATTTGAATTTATTTTTCTAACCCCTGATAAAAAATGCTTTTTACATGTTAGATATTTAATGACAATGTAAATTGCAAATATTATTACAATAATAATAATAGTAATAATGATAAAAATAATAGTAATAGTATAACTTTATAAAATAGAAATTTAGCCACAACAAACTACAAAAATTCATATTTTTACAGTAAAAGAGGAAAAGCAAAATGTGCATCAACCACAGCACAAATTCTGAAGTAAAATAACTTCTACAGATAGATTCTCCACACACAAAAACTTAAAAGAACCTTTATTTTCTTTGTACTAAAATAATACATTTTAATAATTAAGTGATAACTAATATAACATGGAAATTACTGAACAAAATAAGCTCCTAAAGAAAAAAATCTAAGCAAAGTTAATTAAACACTGAAAAAGGAATGATGAAACTAAAAAGAGAAAAGAAAGAATATTCATGCTGCAAAAAAAAAAAAAAATTAAAAAATTCATGCAGTGAATTATCAGACAAGTCATGCCCTTGTTATTTAAGTCTATATGAACTGGTCAGATTAATTACTGGCACACTGAAGAGTTAGTTCACATATAGTTCATACATCAGGTGCAATCAGCATTTCATTATGTTATCATCTCATCAGCATTTCATTACGTTATCATCTCATCAGCATTTCATAACGTTATCTCTAAAACAATCTTATCCCCATCATTTAATGGGTTGTCAAACCCAACATTTTAACAATTTCACTCCCCCCCTTTCCCCCAGCCAAAAACAAATTCTTACCCCCACAGGTTGACATGTCTGGTGATTTTGCATGCAGAAAGAGAATGTGAGAAATAAATATAAGGAAAAGCCTCCACCAGACAATTATGTCAATTCTCACAAACCCTAAAACTCAGTCTTGACCTTCCTTCCTCCGCTGACTTCCTGCGACCTTTGTCCTCTAGGACCCTGAGTCCCTTGTCCTGTGAACCCTTGCGGTTCTTTGAGGAACTGTTTTTGTTGTCACCCCCTTTGCATTCTGCAGTGTCTAAGGCAGCTCTGTTTAAAACAACAACCAATAGGTTAACATATAGGTCTGATAACATTTACACTATAATATAAAACAGTTATCAGTAAATTTATACATCTTAAAATCATTGGTTTAGAATGTATAGTGTTATTTTCATCACTTTTTATTCCAGAGGAAATAAGAATGCAAAGCTAAATCTCAGCAAGAACAATAATAAATAATAATAATGATAGTATAATAATAGTAAAATTGATAATAATAATTAATAAGCCCCCACCTTTTTCAATTTTATATAATTAATTGTTACCATACAACAAAATAATAGAATTAGAAGCTAAGAACCAAAAAGCAGACACTTTAAATAGTATATTAAAACAATATATATAATATTCTTATTCCTGATCATGTTATGCATCTCATACATATTATAGAATAGACTGTTACAGTAAACCATTGTTCAGCTGAAGAAAGCAGTAAACCAAACAAAACAAAATTCTTAGGGTTGAACCAAATGATCCTAAAAAATTACTTTTATAAACACTAAAATAGTTTTTAAGTGTTCATATTATGTGCAGTGTGGTAGATGAAGAAAATAAAATAAAATGAAACATTTTTTTTTAACCTAAACTGAAGAGGTGAAAATAGGTTGCTCAGTATTAACTGTAAACCAGAAATTTGGTATAAAGTCTGTTTATAACAAAAATAATTATGAAATAATAAAATTAACAAAGCTTCTACTAAATGCCACAACATAAACCAAACACAACGTGACCAATTTATCAAAGTGTTCTTTGTGCAGATAGGGAGTTTATATAAATTGGGGAGATCTATGACGTGGGACAAAATATGTTTTATAATAAATTAAGAGGTCAGCTAATTTAAGAACACCTCCATTAATACCTGAGAATTTTCATTCCTTTTTGGTAAGACCTGAAAATCATCATGCAAGTTTTGACAATACAGTTATTTCACACCATTATAGCAAAATAGTGTTTTTGTGAGTTTGTTCAATCTGATTAGTATTTGTGGACAACTAAAATGGTAGAAGTATTAAAAGAAGTCTACTTTTAACAGGCAATGTGGAATTCTATTTTTAAAAATATGATGCAGGATTTTAGAAAATTATTTTTTTTCTCTTTCTAACGAATAAGTAATAATGTAATAAAGTAAGTGTGTTCATGAAAGGTAAAGTCATTATGTAAATGAAAAGTTAAAAGTATACACTATTTTTCTAGTTAAAAAGCTTTAACAGTGTGATGAAACAGATTCAAGCAATTATAAATATGCATTCTTAAGATTCCAAATGACTTCACACTTCTGACAGGGGATGGGGTGGGGGTGTGGGGGCAGGGGTCAAACAAGTTAACTTCCAGTATATCCCAAACTCAATTGTTTTAATTGGAAAAGTTTAGGGTTGTTTAATAAGTAATATTCCCAGTCATCTTATATATAACTATATATATATGTGTGCTAAAATTTTTATTTTATTTTAAGGGCACTCATACTTGCATAAATACAATAATGGAAAAAGTATTAATATATATCAATACAGAGTAACAAAAGATGTGATGATAAAAAGAAATTTATGATTGCACATTGGAAAAGTAGGGTATACCTGGCAGGTTTTAAAATATTATCCAGCTCTGAGGCTAAATGTCTCCTGATGTATGACTTAGATGGAGGGATCCCCATTATGGCTGCAAGAGTATCGGCATTAAAAGATGGCTCCAGGACCATTAAGGCTCCGTGTACCCCACTCTCAACAAGGCTTTCACAGTATTCCTGTCAGACACAACACATTTAGAGAAATTAATATCACACTATCGTTAGAGTAAAGGGTTAAGATTTTCTTTAATGAAAACAATCTTTAAAAATTTAGAATTTTTGGCATATATTTTTATGGCCTTGTAAAAATTCTAAAGTATTAAAACATTAATTTTTTTAAAAATTTGATTAAACTGAAAATAATCTTAGAACTTTGATTCCTTAATGAGTAATAATTATTGATTAATTGAAGATATTCAAAATGAGTAGCAAAAACGTACACCCAGATCAATTGATCGTGTCCACTTCATCAGTCTTTCATTAGTCCATACAATTAAATCAGTATCTTTGTCTTCACATAAGTTGCGACGATGGTATAGTTTCTATGTAAATAAAAAAGGGATGCATGATTTTAGATAAATTAGGAATTGTTAAAGAGATAATTAAAAGGAACAACACTAAGATGACATATATAAAACTAAATAAAGCTTAGATTTATACATAGGATAGATAATAGATAATTACTAAAACAACAGAAATTTAAAAAAAAAACCTAACCCAAATAGAATGTAATGTTAACTCTTAAAACTTTTATTATTCACTCACAGAATAAACATAGCATTTTAAAGACAAGAAAACAAACCTCTTTGTTAAAATCAATCCTCCTCAGCAGCTCAATCGCATGAAGAATGGAAGACTGGTGGAACTTCCTGTGGACAGAGAAATGCTTTTCCAGGTCACGGCGTGTTAGTGTATTCAAGACATGCCCATCACACAGCTGCTCCTCAAATATGTCTGTGTACTGTGGAAGGCCAAGGTCAGGCAAAAAGCGATGTGCAATCCACGTGGGATCCATTTCACTGGCTTTTAAATATTTTCTGGCAAATATAGAAATAAGTATTCACATTTAGAGAAGATGATAAATGCATTCAGTTACATGTTTGCAGGTAAGTTAATAATAGCTCAAATGTGAAAATTAGCAGTCTTTACAGCCATTTTAAAACACTACAGGGGTATTATTTTCTTGTCAGAGGACCAGAAACTCCTTATTGCATATTGAGTTGAGACCAACCAATCACATGTTTTGGAGCCATAGATTTATATTATATGTTTATGTGGCTAGCATCAATGTCTATCATCATCATTTCTTGTTCATGCCCAAGACACATGGGGCAGATGAAGTAGTTCATTTGCTTCAGAGACCTCACCATATGATGGGATAATGTGGTCAGCATTATGCCCTGCAGCCTTAGTTTCCCTAACATGAGTTAGGTACCCATCAGAGCTGGGTGGACTCAGGGACATTCCACTTATTTGAACCCGGATTCAAACTTAATTCAAAATAAATAAATAAATAAATTTAAAAAGCTGTAGCTTTATTTCTAAATTTTAATATCCCAGAAAAAAATAGTGAAAATGTTTACATTTCATTAGGGTTTCTATGCTGTTCAATAGCTATTCTGAGTTTCCTTCTGTGCATTGTGTTGGTTACTCCCAAAGCTGCACTCAGTTCACTGTCACTTAGGCCGAGTAGGATCTATCAAACAAACAACACCATTACTTACAAGACACATTGTAAACATGTTCCCAACAAATAGTTTATAAACACTTTTAAATAAATAAAACTGTAATAAAAACAAAATGCTTGATTCTCACAATAGTCATTGTCGACAAATAAGTTGTAAAGGAAAACTGAATATAGTATAATAAATACTAAATTTACACACCATTTTGTAAAGCTCGAAGAGAAAAAATTTGTCTTGTATCTACCTTAGCAACATTACACAAATTAATTATCAATAAACTTCCTTAAGTTATGACAATCAGCTGTGATAATAAAACTACTTACCCTTCCACTCTTCACATTCATGAGACAGTTCTGGGCATACATTGGCATGGCTAGTGTGATCTCCAGCCAAGCCAGTACTTGGTGAGCCCTCCAATCTCTCATGTGGACACCCACCATTTTTTCTATTGTGTTCAGTTTTTCCTGGTAGTTGTCCTGACTTAGTACACACAGTTTAGGGCTTGTGTCTGAAAATAATATTTGTAGAGTTAACTTAAGGTTTAAATACACTTAACTGCCTATTATAGCAATAATCATTTCTTTTGATTTCTAATAGAATTCATTATTTATTTTTCCTTAGTAGTGTAGCCTAAAAAATAACCAAAATAATGAAAATGTTACTGTTTGATAACTGACAGGCAAGATTGAAAAAAAATTTCATAATGTTAAAAAGATAAAAAAAAACGTCATTCTTAATTGTGATTTTAAAGAGAATTCCTTTGAGCTGTTTCAGCCAATACAACAGCAAATTTTAAAAATTATATATAAAGTATATATATATATATATATATATATATATATATATATATATATATATATATATATATATAAGTATATCTGCTTCTGTTCTATAATGACACAGTAGTATTGAAATGATAGATACTATAACTGATTTATTATAATCATACTGATGTTACTTTTCAACAAATTATGTAATGACAAGTAAATAAACATAATGGTCTAAGCATTAATTTTTAATAACAGATCAAAACAGAATATTAGTATCTAAAACTCAGCTCTGAACATTAGTGCATTAAAAAAGGAAAACAACATGAATACCACAACAAAAACATACCATCAGCTATCAAGCTCTCTGCATGTGGCAGGACAATAGATCGTCTCATCCGACCTTTGCTGAACACCCGTGACAGGGAACCAAAGCTTTTCTTCTTTTTCTTGCTGGGTTTAGACTCCAGAGGTATCTCAAAGTCAGAGCTCTGTGTGAACCACTTGAAGACAAGGCTAGATGCATCAGTGGAGTCTGTGGTACTGATAGGACTTGTGCTAAAAACTGGAGGAAATAAAAAATTCACAATGCAAACATGATTGCTGTATTTCTAATTTCTTGTATGCATTTTGTGCTACATCAGGGGTTTTGGTAATACAGAATCATTTTAGGGGTGTTTAAATGTCACTTTAAGAACCACTGCGGTATTACATTAAATGTAGTGATTAAGTGGCTTAATAGGTATTTTGATTATGGAGGTGAAGCAGAGATGTAAAACTGGTAATCCATTTACAGGGCTTGAAGAAGGTAAAAATTAATGCTACAAGTCAGGATTCTCAGCTTTTAATGTAGTGGATATATAAACCATCTGTATGAAATTTTAAGCTGCTAAAATCTACAGCCACAAGCTTACTCTGTGCTCCGTTGTCCTGGTCAGCCTGGAAAGTGCAGTTAAGAACAGAGGACTCTTCCATTGTAGAAAACCCATTGTCATCAGCAACAGCAATATCATCATCTATGTCAGTGATGATTGTGTTTGGTCCTGTTGTTGAGGTGATGTTGTTGTCTTGGCTTGCCAGTTGCTCCTGCACCTGGGGTAAATGAAATACATTTTTTAAAAATCAAAACAGCATACATTTTGTATCAATATTTCACATAGTTTATCTTAATGAATAAGATATTTCTATCTATGAATTTTTTGAAACTAGCTATCATGAATTAAGATTTATCATCCTATCCAATTCATGCCCAATGCACATGGGGCAGATGAAGTGGAGTTCAAGATTCAACATATGATGGGATAGTGTGGTGGCACTATGCCCAGCTGCCTTAGTTTTTACTAACTTGAGTTCAGTACTTATCAGAGCTGGGTGGAAATTCTACTGACTTTAAGCCAGATTCAAACTTGAGACTTTCAGATTAACAGTCTAGCTCTCTACACCTAGACCACACCCTCTCATATAAATTAAGATTACTTAACATTATTTGTTAATGAAATGGTGATTATAAAGAAAATGGGAGATGAAGCAAGCACACAAATATAATTATGCAAAAATCAATTTGCAGTAATAAAATAGAAAATAATAACAGTTATATTTACTTAGTAAATTAAAACTAAAAATTATATTTCCTTTACTTTATGAGAAGAAAAATAAATTAAAGGTTATGTTGTGATGATACAACAAACCTAGGATGAAAGGCTAAATTAAGAAAGCTAAATAAAGACATTCAGCAGGTAAATTTGCTTATTAGTTCCATTCATTTATTTGAATGGTTACACTTGTTTTTCTTAACGTGTCTTATAATTAGGTTACAGATAATTGAAGTTAACAAGAAATGTGTGGTATTCTTTCAGCAAACTTAAAAAACATTCTAAGAAAAGTTTTTAAAAAAAAGCTAGACCACCCTCATTCAGCCCAGACAAAGAACAAAAAGTTTCTGACATCAAGGATTTTTTTTCTTAGATTACTTGGCAATTGTCTCCCTTGGAAGTTTACTTAGTTACTTCTAAAGAGGGTGTGATGTTTTATTTTAAAAGACTACCTCTTTTAACTTGGTCTCCATCTCCTTCAGGGTCTGCTCTCTGTTGTCCAGCTGGGTCTTGAGGAACATGGCCCTCTCAGCTGCATCCTTAGCTTTCGTGATGATATCCCACTTCTCATTCTCTACATCTTCCTTTTCCTTGGCAAGCTATCATACACAAATAAGTAGGTAAATTAGAAATTAACTTGTTATGTTTTATGCATAGCCAAAAAAGAATTCATTGAATACACATATGCATTTTAAACCAGTCAAAACAGTATCCTTTTTCCATTAGTAATAAAAAAAATAATGAAAAACTAAAATGGTGCATTAATTTCAATTACAATTTAAGTATTTTTAAATCATTTTAAAAACAAATTAATACTTGATAGCTTACAACAAGCTTCTTGATAATGACTTTTCTTACATTAAACCTAACCTAATGTTTAAAATCAAAGGATATAAATATTTAAAATAAAAGATGGCTATTAAGTGCCAAGCAATAAGGAAAATAATGCCGGATTTATTTACCTGCTTTATCATGTCATCACTCTCCTTGACCCTTTGTTCATAGTTGCGAATAAAGTCCCTTAACTCAGTTTCCTTTTCTTCAAGGGTGCTATAAAGTTGTTTCATCTGGCTCAGGAGGTCTAGTTTCTCCCCTTTTAATCTTTTGCGATCACTCTTCATACCTGAAATAGACAGGAAAATACAAAACATGCATTATTCTAAGAAATAATCAGCATACCTTGCTGAATAGACAAGAAACAAAACAAACTGAACTATAGGCAAATGAATCAGACTTGAGAAAAATGTTAATTAAAAAAAGGTAATGGTGTATTCTCTTTAGCTCACTCAATGTGACAACTAAGTAAACTGAAATTCCTTTTTGAACCTGGCAAAATATGAGGGGACAGTCTGATCAGCAAACTGCCCAGCAGCCTTTACGTTCCTTAAAGTAGTACCCATCAGAGTTGGACAAAAACATTTTAAATTCTTTGTTTCACAATAACAATCTACAGAATTTTTACAACTGATTTCCCAACACTGTAAGCACTAAAAACATTCTGGTTCCATCCCTCAAATAAAGACCTGAAATAGAAGTACTTTACCTTGTAAAACTTCTTTAGCTCTGTTCAATTCTTGTTTGGTTTGAATGAGCTCAAGCTTGAGCTCCCCATAGCTGGGTTTGTTATCTGGTGAGGAAGGTTCATGTTTAGCCAGTCTCAGCTCCTCATAGTCTTTCCTCAAGTTCCTCAGCTGTTGCTCCTGTCTGGCATTCTCAGCTTTCAAATGCTCATTCTCATGCTGAAAACCAAAAGATCAATTCATGAAATTCTGCACAAACTAATTTCATACATTACAGATTCTAGCAATTTAACCAGCATGCATCAGAATGCTAGTATCAAAATTTAGTTTAAATAACAAGCAGAATTAAAATTGATATTCCTTTTAAATGATAAACTTTTAAGACATATTTGAATTTCAAAAGGAAGCAGAGACTTTGACCATTAAACAGGTTCTTAAAATGCAACTCTTATAAAATAAATAAATCAATATTTTCCATTAGGAGTAGTATTTTGTGGGAAGCTTTTACTTTTAAATCTTCCTGTGCACACTTTAGTGCATCGTGATCATCAATCAGACGTTTGTAATCTTCAAGTAATTGTTCGTTTTCTTTGGCGAGGGTTTGTACTGTTGTCTCCATGTCTTCTTTGTCTGAATCTGATTTTTCTCCTCCACATGCAATATCTGGAAAAATGAGAAATTTATCGGCTAGAATAATCATTTTAGTGATTAGGACAAATAGAAAAATTGATAAATTTTATGTGATTGTGTTTATATAAATTTTCGAAGAAGCCCTCCTAACTTTGTAAACAAGTCTAAAATTTGGTTCAAATTTTTCAAGTCACTATCCTGTTCTGGTTCTCTAGTATGTACAACAGCAGAAACTGAGCTAGATCACAGAAAATAACAGCAGCTGGGCATGAAACTGGCCACCCATTTCACTTGCAATTGGTCACAGAAAAAAGGTGAACTATATCTGCTTCTATATTTTTCGATATTTTTCCACAGACAATGGCCTTGTCACATTTACATTTTTTCATGGCTTTATTATCCTTTGCAAGAAGAAGGTTCCTGAAATTTTAGGTGGGTTAAGTAGGCCTTGACTAATCAGATCTTTAAGTCTGAGGAAACTGAATATCTTAGTACATTACGTATAGAAAACAAACCAATCTCTAGTCTGCTCAAATTTTTTTTTTACCAATTTCTCACGTGGTTCACATTAAAAAAGTAAAGATACCTCTTTGGACCTGATGATCAATACTCAGGTGAAATAAAAGTTGACCTGTTTTGGGAGACCTCATTGTACAAAGCCAAAGTTTGGTCTGTTCTATGCAATCCCATACCAGTGCACATACCTTTTGAAAAATCTTTCTCAACTTGTGTCCCTTTGTCCACTTTGCCCATATCTTCGGGATGATTAATTTGATGCAGTTTTTTATTGGTTGAAGCTAGTTCTGCTCTGAGTAGACTTACTTCTTGATTAGCTGCCTGTTGATAAAAAGTGAGATTTGCAATATAAAAAAAAACAGGCACTGATATACTATAGATTTGATAGTTTCAACAATGACTGATGAAGCCATTTTAGAAAAAAATAAAGCTCTAGGCCTATGCTGAAGTATGCTGCTGTGGATTTAGAAATGATACACCTAATTAATACAAATCTAATTTCTAAAGACTAGCACTAGAAATACTAGATCTAGATCTAGAATAGATCAAGATCTAGATTGTAGAATACAAATCTAGTATCTAGTTTTAAAAAGTACACTATACTCTATACTATACTAACTATACTTAACTATACTATCACCGTATCACGGCATCTAGACTCTAGATCTTAATCTAGAATCTACGTCTAAGTTTAAGTCTTAACGTAAGTATTAAGTAAAAGTCAGTTATCCAGAAAGTAGCTAAAAAAACTTAACTAGTAAACGAATATCAAATATCGTCAAAACAACATTAGATTACATATTACATACAGTATACAGTGATCTCTGCAACCATGCTTCAAGCTTGATGAGTGAGAAAGACTAGAATCTAAATAGACTAGTAAGTAGTTATTAAATAGATTGGTCTGTGGTTAGTGGTTAGGTCTAAAAGAATCATGTGAAAAATTATGTGTCAGTCCATGATAGTAATAGACAATCTAGATCTAGAATCTAGATCTAGACTAGTATCGTCTGCACAAAAGCACACATTTGTAAAGAGTTACTTTTAACGCGATCGCATCTCATTGGTCAGAATGAAATAGGCCTAAACAAAAATAGAAACTAGACTGCCAACAACTATCCAAGAACGCATTCTTCGCATTTACAAGTTTTAACAAAATACAGGCTAAATAGTCGCTAATTTGGGTGGCATTGGCATTAAGGCCTATTTATTTTTAGTCAATTAGGCTGATTTTTTTCCCAAATAATCACAAATTATTGTAAATGAAAACTGTTTTTTACAGCCTACCCCGGTATGACACACTATAAGGAAATGATGAGATACTCAAGATGGCCTACCTGAATAGACGTGTCGATGTGATTTGCAAGCTGTTTGTTATCCTCTACCATCTTACGAAATCTGGCCTGGGCGTCCAGCAATAGTCTCCGAATAAGTACCATAGAGGATTGGACTGATTCGTTTGGCATCCTAACTTCGCCATCTTTGGTCAGCTGACACTGGCTTGAAACGATGTACTGGACGATTTGGTCGTTTAGGCAATCTAAAGACTGGATGGCTGTGAATGAAAAGAAAACAATGGTCATTCTTATGGCCCGTGGTCAAGCCACACAATTAAAGGAACATCAAAGTTGATAACAATGGTCAGAGTCGGACATTATTTCAAACAATGGTATAGGCCTACAGTCTTGGCTAGTTGGGACGCTTTCAGTAGGCCTACAATGCTACAGTTTCATTGAACAAAAATAAAAACTTTGTTCCGAAAATAGGAAATTATATAGACCTATAATTTAACTTTTAAAAAATGTAGATCTATATATATAGATCTAGCTTCATCTTCCCGGTTAAAAACATTTTCCATTACACAGATGACGTGGTAAGATTAATTTATCAGTTTCAGTCTATTACAAAGGGAATATCGCCATTGTAATGAGCACCGAAATAACTGATGACTAAGACGTTTCTGACACTGACCAAACAATCAACCGGACACGTGTGGTGGTACGGATAATAGGGGCGGGCTGGACTCCCCCCTCCGGTAAGAAAAACAGGGCCGGCTAACGACACGTGCGACCTTGTCGCAACAAAAGTAAACGTTAATTGACCTTTGTGTGGTGTGCGAGACAGTCGAAATGGGCTGTCACAACACACACGTGGCAGTGAAGTGAATTTTAACTAGAGCCAATAAAGTAGTATTTAGAAAAGGTGGATAATTAAAACATTTCTGTAAAAATATATCATCAGAGTTTCTTCCAGGCATCTCTTAAAAGTTTACCCCCCCCCCCCTCCCCGAACAAAATGGAATTTATATAGAAAACATACTATTACCAGTGCCCGCCCCCACCCCCCGGAAAATGTAGTCCACCCCCACCCCCGAAAATATCATGTACCCCCACCCCCTCCCTGGAGAAAAAAGTGTGGAAGAAACACTGTATATCATGCTATGGAAGAATTGTAGGCCTATATGCATACACACAGACAAACACCATAGAGTCATAGAGCCTATGTCTATCTCAATCGATATATATATATATATATATATATATATATATATATATATATATATATATATATATATATATATATATATATATATATATATTGTATAAGCATTTGAAGTCTATAACTAGGGATGAGTCATACAACAAATACAAAAGAAAACAAAAGTACACAACCAGATTTTAAACATTGAACTATTTGTACTCATATGTAAAAAGTGCAAGATAAAATAGAGGTGAAAATGTTCCTTTGAAGGGAACACGCTTTGACGACGGCCGCTTAATTGGACGCATGTTTACACCTGTAGCCCGAATGAGGCAAAGGTGTACTCATAAACCATTCTTAAGATGGGGTTATTCGGCGGCTTACAGGTGCATGTTGGGGCATGGACCTCGAGGGGTAACCAATGGGGGTCGTGCGACGCGAGGCAATCGACATTCCAGCATTCACATGTGATGTGGGTGGATGGGGTGGGTGGGGGGGGGGGGGGGTGTGAGTACACACCTGTTCAATTTTTGGGCAGGTGGTTGAGGTAGAATTAACAAGTTTTTAGAGTGAAAGGCTGAACATTTCGGCCAACGGTAAAAAAAGTGTTGGTACGTTTTTGTAATTTTGTTTTTATAAGAGTGCTAATGATCTCTTCGCGTGGTGGGTATCTTCAAGTTTTATTGTCTGTGCGTCCAAATATTTTTTTCTTTTCATTTGTAGATCTTCTTCACGGCTGTATATAATGTTGACAGCACTTTCATTTTATTGGCTGAGGTAAGAAAAACAGATGTATTCTACTTCATCTGCAGCACGGAAAGGGTAGGGTGGGTGGGGGGGGGGGGGTCCACCTCAGCTATAGGTTCACTAACCATAGAATCGCTAGCCTAAGGATCGTTAGCCGAATGGTCGCTGGCTAAATGGTCGCTAGCCGTAAAAGATATATAATTTTTCGCCATATGGTCGCTAGTCATAAGGTCACTAGCCATTGGGTCGTTAGCCATAGGATCTCTATTGCAAGTCTCTCTGGGCAAAAAAAAGGGGTGATGCAAAACCAGTGCTTCTTCCAGACTTTTTTCTCCGGGGGAGGAGCACTTGAAATTTTCGGGGGGGGGGGGGGGGGGGGGACGGGTGGACGGGACACTGTTAAAAGTATATATTTTCTATATAAATAACATTTCGTTCGGGGCGGTAGACTTTCTTCGGGGGAGGGGGGGGGGGGGGGGGGCTCATGGAAGAAACTCTACCTATAAAAACTACCTATAATTTTAGTAGATCGACAACTCTGGGACTACTATGATTATTTTTCTTATGTAGGCTTCATATGTATAAAATAATGAAATATATACATTCGGCCATCTATATGTGTTGGGGGTGACACACTGAGTTACCGCACCGGGTGTTACCGACACAGCGACGCCGCTGTCTCCGAGATTGTTAACATTCCGTACAGCCATTGTTTAAAGCAGGTACAGTGCAACTTGTCTGAATCATGGTATATAATTTTTTTTAAAGAAGATTCGTCTAGATCTATTTTACCCGGTGGTGAAGTCACATCGTTTAGGAACGTGGTCTTGAATAAACTACTCCCCACCCTCAAGACAATTAATGTACCTTTAGAGGCGTAGCTTGGGGAAGGGGGGGGCGGCCGCCCCGGGTGCCGAACTTAGGGGGCGTAGAACGGGGTAGACATTTTTTTTTTTAAAAAAAAAGCTCATTTCGAGCTGCATTACTAAATACATTATACACAGTCGATATGAAGAAAACAGACCATTACTAGGAGTTACAGAGTTAATCAACTGCTTTTTACATCAATAGTGTGACACAAGGGACAGTAGTAAAAAGCGCCCTAACCATTTCTAATTGGGGGGGGGGGCGACGTCACCTTTATGCCAATGTAAGTAACTATAATAATAAAGGGGGGGGGGGACACAAAGTTGTTAATTCGACCAGGGCGCCGGAATGGGTCGCTAAGCCTCTGTGTGCCTTTCGAGCAGTGTTACAACCAGGGCACTAGACTAGTACGCCATCTATAGTTAACTTTAAAACAGGACAAAACACACACCAGTGGGACGGCGTGGTCTAAACGCTAGGCTGCTAACCCGAAAGTCTCGAGTTCGAATCCGGGTCCAAGTCAGTAGAACGTCCCCAGCTCTGATGGGTACCTAACTCACGTATGGAAAGTAGAGGCGGCTGGACATACTGCTAACCACACTCTGCTGAACTCTACTTCATCTGCTCACTGGATCGCGAGGTCTAAAGACAATTCTTTATGCACACACCAGTGACAAGGGTGAGGGGGTGTGTCATTGGGTTAGCCAGGAATGTTTCCACATACACACACACACACACACACAGAGAGAGATTCACGCACACACACACATATACACGCACGCACACACATTCACATACACACCCACACACACACAAATCGCTTACGCAACCACATTTTCTCATCGCAGTGACGTCAAGGACACACACGGGTTCACATAGTTTATCCTGCCAGACCCACAGTTTACAGAACCAAACTACGGTAATCACGCCGTGGGTTGGCCAGAATGAGAGAAAAAAAAACAACTCCCCCGAAATGGCATTCTGGGTAATTCAAGATTTCAAAGCGAGGCCGGTGAAGCAGCGGGTTAGATGGTCGGGAAGTAAACGTCTTATCTCGGTAATTAGACCGACCAGCAGGTTTGAAAACACGGGAGAGATAACCGTGGCATTTCAATGAGGTGGGGGAAAGGGGGGGGGGGGGGGAATAGGAATATACTTCGTAATGTTGGATCGTTGCTTGGAGAATGACGAAAGATAAAAATATTAAATATTTGCGGATGACTTATTTTAGGAAAACTCTATTTTTAGGCGTATAACCCATAATAAATTAATATATTATTACATCACTTAAAATAGATCCTGTTAATGTATTACTAAATACGACAACAAAATCCAATTTTAGATTTAAAAAATAAACACTACTCATTAGAAGAGATTAATACCAGGCATCATCAAAAACTGCTAATGACGAAATGACATATGTCAGTAAAAATAATAAGTACGAAATTCTTAGTTTGCATACACAAATTGTTAAAGTAAGGCCTATGTCAAGGAGAAGTAACTCTGAACTTATTCACTTCTCTCTTCTTCTTTGTTCTTCATTCTAATTTTGGAAGGGATTTCCTCTAACGAAATTAAGTATAACGTGTCATAGTGTTATGCGTCATATATAGACCGTTGAATATGACTTCAGCCTGCGTTTTCTGGATTTGCTTCCATAGACTTTGCCCATCCAAAAACAGCCTTCAATGCAGAAGTTGTTTTAATTTTAATTTTGCAGTTTTCTCTCCAAGATTGCGCCTCATCTACCCGGGGGTTCAAACTCGAATTAGCAGCCATGAGCTCTACCGCCCGACCATGCCGTCCATTGAGCGTATTCAATTTACCACAGTTAACTTGTAACGGAAAGAACGAAAAAAAATTAATTAATTAATTAATTTTTTTTTTTGAAAAATAAGCAACACACTCAAAATGTTTAAAAAGGTGTATGCTATAATATTAGTTGACTGAGAAAAAAAAAGATAACGGTCAGAAAAGGTAAAAAAAAAAAAGCACTCAAAACTAAACGACGGCCTACTCTTTAGCAGACCCACGCTGAAACATTATGTTCATTTCGTTACACAACTCTTTAACGCGGGTTAGAGCAACCTCATTACGACTAATTTGCTTAAAACAATTAGTACACTGACCTCTAACTAGCTGAACATGCACAATATTCAGCACACACAGGCAATGTGAGCGAGCCATTAGCAAAGCGAAGACATAATCAGTTTTGTGAACGAGCCATTAGTTAAGTTAAGACGTCATCAGCTGTCTGAACGAGCCATTGGTAAATTAAAAACAGGAACAGAACATTGCCAGTGTAAAAATAAACAATATGAATGAGCGATTAAAAAGACGAAACTGCAATGAAGAATGCGAACCATCTATAATAATAGTTTCGCTGTCTCTCTATCTATCTATCTATCTATCTATCTGTCTGACAAGAACGCTCTAGAGAAAAGACAAGCAATTTAAAAA